AGGATAAGTTCTTTATCAGAAAAGACAGAGGTTCTTTCTGTTATGAAAGCATGGAGCACTTACAGGACAAGTCCAGCACCAGCAGATTCTCAAGGCCCTTTTTCAGCACACGGACGGGCGCTGTCATCCTGCGCAGGCCGGCATCCGACAGGGAGTTGTCCTTCAGGAGAAGCCTTTTCACACTGGCAGGAGAGAGATAAACATGTACTTTATGGTCATTATTTCTGACAGTTTTGCAAAATGTCCTAAAGCTCTGTGTCAGAAGGGTCATCCTGTGCCAAACTCTACAGGCTCACTGTAAAAAGCAGTGTCAAAGGAGCTGGGTTAGCAGGACTAACAAATATCTTTATATTTCTCTGCTAGCTCAACAGAAGCACTACTTGAGCAGCTATTCCCACTGATCCTAGAGCCAAACATTTGCAAACAGAGACAATAAGCTTCTTTATACCCTGGAATTCCTTATACCAAGGCTGCCAAACTGAATGCACTCAAAACTAAGAAAAAATGCTTGGCAAAATGAGAGAGGGCAGATTCGGTAAGTGATACAGCATGGATTTTAATAAAATAATGAGGTATTATAACAGATTAGTAGAACTCAGGAAAAATCATCACACTAAAGTGCAGTCTTCAGAGTACTTTAAGACAAAACCTTGATGCAAAATGCACCAAAATATTACAGCAACATACTATCCTTAATTAGTAGTCATCCTACCTGTTGTTTCCAAAATTTTCTACTTGTCATTCTTTGTTAGAAGGATATTCTTTTACGATGTTAACTAACCAAATATTCAAGTTCTTGCTTGCAGAAATCTTCATCAAGAACACTAGCTTGGTTAAAAATTTGGCTGATAAAGTTCCCCCTTAAAAATAGGAAATGTAAAACTATTCCAAATCTTATAGATGCATTTTTTTTTTTACCCAGACAATGAGAAGTATAAAAAGCTGATATAAAACATGAGAGAGTAAATTATTTTGCTTAGTTTTAGTACTTTTTATGATTCAGTATGTGCTTTGTGTACAATAAATTCTGTATTTTGTTTACCTCCAGAACAGGTTTTATGAGCAACCAAAATCTTCAGCCTTACACTCTGCAGCCTGTGAAACTTCCCTTTAAAGTCTCAGCCTGATTCTTTGAACTGCTAAGTGGTAGGAAAGAAAGTGTCAGTTTTAGCTCAAGAAATTGGTACCTAGACAGGGCCTCTTTGGTGAGGTGTTCCAGCAGCTCATGTTCATCTCCAAGTTTACAGCAGGAGAGATCCAAACACGTCAGCTCCCGGAAAGACTTAATTTCTTCAAGCTTTTCAGAGATAACCAGGTATCTGCAAAGCCAAAAAAAAAAAGAGAAAAAAGCCCTCAGTGCTCAGGCATGTGAGGAGGTGTCTACATCCCCAAGTGTCATAAGCACAGTGCACTCGTTTCTGCTAAGTACCAATGTGAAAATTGACATAAATTACCCAGCTGCACTAAGTACCTCTTTATGTGCAGCTGGCACACAACATGTCTGAATTCCCAGTCTTAAATCACCATCATGGTTTTGATTTGATGCAAAATATTGGACTAACAAGACTTCAACTTGAAAACATTGCTATTAGGAGCTTCTTTACAGATTATTGCTGCATTATTTCAGAATAATGCAAAATATCCCAGTTTATCATAAGTCAGCTCACGAACTGCTCTTCCTCAGTGTCTACGAGGGTATAGACAAACCCACATTCATCCAGGTTTAAAGTCCACCTCAAATGTGGATTTTAAACGAGACAGGATAGCTTGTAAGTGGCAAAATTTTACTTTTTATATATGTCAATAAAATACTTGACTAGGAGTAAAAGCCCAGGACTGGCCAGAGCTGTGGCTACACCCCTGGCAGCAGTTACTCAGTGGGTTTTTTTTTTTAGCTGTGCTGGTTCCCTGCTCTGATTCACTCAGCAGCCACGCAAACATCTGTGCTGGAGCTATTCAGTAGGAGGTTTAGAGATGGGAACAAACCACTGAAGAATGGCAGGCATGAGTATGCAGTAATGAGCACGTAGCCCTCAATACCTCCCCTGCAGTCACCTCTTGCTGTCCCTGTGGCAAGACAAGCTCCAAATTCACTGATCTCTCCTGAATTTACCTCGTATTCCCCATGGCAAGACACACCCTGAGGTCAGCATCTTCACTGCATAAACTGGGGGTGATTGTTAATTTGATCCCTCCAGGAACCCTCTTTGTTCATGCAAATAAGAGGACCTTAATATCCTCCCAGTGTAATTTTACCCATCAAACCACCCCTCACACCCTTTTCCTGTGCAATCTGGCTCTGCAAAAAGCAGAACATACAGTCAGAGCACAAGCCAGTTCTTGAGAGAGATTATTAACTCAGGGGGGTTCTGGAGAGAGTGGGCTCTTTTAGAAATAAAATTAATCAGAAAATGCCTTAATGCCTTACTTCCTGGATTTCAAAGACTTGATACTTAACTCAGCCTTCTGTAATGGCAAAAGATGCCAGAAGTAGCTTAATTTCCAAATTAAACCCATAAAATTATCTGCGCTAGAGATAAAAAGGGAGTAGGTTTAAAGGATAAAACAAAGGATAATTGACTTTTACTCAAACATTCCTACTGTGCTCAGAACACCCTTGGCACTTCAGATGAATATGCCAGTACTTTGATTTTAAACTGGATAAACCATCCCTTTTTCAAGTGTAGAGATGGAAGAGACGGGTTCTATTACTGGGAAAGACTTCAGTAGGAGCAAGGCTTTAAAAACATAATCCAGTTTTAAACTTGGCAAGACTCTTTCAGTGAAAGATGTGGGCATTGAGAAGATGGAAAAACTAGTGTTGGACTGTAATCAGGGCCTTGTTAAAGTACATTCACTATGGGAGTGGCAACAACAATAAATTAAGGTAAAACCTGACTGATTTCAAATCCTGCAACTTACCCACAAGTCTCTATCTTCTTCTGAGCCCCCAAAATGAGATGTGACAGCAAGCTCATAGTTAGTAAACCTGAACAATTTGCAAGGGTGTATTTTATCTGTACAGTCAGCTAAGCGTGTCAAAAAGCTTTTAAACAGCAATTACAGAAACATCCCATGAAATGCCTGAGAAGGCACTAAGCACATGGATTTCCACAGAAGTGCTGATTATTATCGTTAAAAAATAGCTGCAGGTTTAATCCTCCAAATAAGATCCATGTTGGTTAAAACAGATGTAGTCTGTTACCTCTATTAATGATTTGTATCTTAAAATGAAACCTGCAGCTGCACTTGTAGGAAAGGGATGGGACAAAAGGCAGCAAGCACAAGAATTAGGTAGGGCTCAGGGCATTTCACTAAAATTAGGTGGTGTTACAAGCCCAAAATGTATTTTTATTTAATTTAATTTAGGGGAAGCTTGAAGTGTGCTAGCAGAAAGCCCTAGCAGATGACAAGACTTGTTAGGGGACACACTTACCTGTTCCGCAAGCACAGTGAGCACAGCACCAAACTGCCATAGGCTTCAGTGAACTTCTGCAGAGCTCTCAGTCCTGTCACTGGCTCTGTGAACTTTTGTCTTGCTTCTGCTGCTGAAAAGAGCTTTTCAGCAATCTGCTCTGGGAAACCAACCAACGAGTCAATGTGATCAACATTGTCAGAAATGTAACCTAGCACTAGGCTGAAGAGGGACTTGGCCGAGTAGCGGAGGTTCCCCTCCTTAGTGTACGTGAAGATGAAATGATCAGTCCTCTGCCTCCTTGCCCTATCATCCTCCCTGTTCATGCAAAGCTCCACTGAAAAACTTCTGGAAAACAAACTAAAAGGTCTTGCTTTGGGAATGACATTCTGTACGCCGCCTGCACCCCGATTTACCACGTGCAGCTTCCCATTTTCACGCACGTATATTGGCCCAGTATCCAAATGGCTTTCTGAGTGGAGACAGTACGACATTCCCCTCGACCAGCTCTGCAAAAACAAATCACAGACAGGTGAAGAACAGCCACAGAGGAAAACATGACCCAGGGAAGCCCCCAATGCTGGCAGCTCCCCTTAGAGCCCTGAGCATGGCCACGTAGCCCTGCGGTGCAAGGAGGGCAGGCTGTGAGGAGCAGGGCTGTGAGCTGCCTGCCACCAAACCACGCAGCCCTTCCGAGTGGAAACCAGACCCCACTCGGGTCTGGCTGAGAACCCCGGGATGGAGATAGGGGCAGCGGGAGAGGGGCTGGGGTTGAGTGGGAAGTGCCCCCACAACCAGGCCTGGCTCTGCTGCAGGCAGGAGAAGGAGAAGGAGGAGGAAGAGGAGGGCACATGTCTGACTGCAGCTGGGCAATGGAGCCTGCTGGAACCTCCCTCCCTGGGAGGGTGGGCATCTCCCAGGGTGCCCCTTCCCCCGCCGGTGCCGGGTTCGTGAGCAGGGGCAGGAGAGCTCAGGGCTGCCATGGCGAGGGGCAGGGCAGGGACAGGATCCCAGGATCCCCTCAGCTCCTGCCCTGCGGGCCTGGGGATCGCGTTTTGCGGGGCGAGAGGAGGTCGGGCCCTGCCCGAGGGGGGCCGGGGGTACCGAAGGGTTGGGGACGCGAAGGGATCGCATCCAACCCAGATCGGGGTCAGGAGCTCCGCTGGGAAGGGTCCGTGAAGGGACCGGGTTGTGCCCGAGGGTGAGAGCGCCGTGAGCGGGCACAGCCCCGAAGGGGCGCCAGGGGCAGGGGGCACAGGGGCACAAGGGCAGGGGGCGCAGGGGGAAGGTTCCCCGGCCGGGCAGGGAGCCCACAACCCCGCTCATTCCCCGATCCCCCCGGCTCCCACCTACCTGCCCCGGGAGGGGCCGCGCCGTCAGCCGGGCCGGGGCTCGGCGCTCCCGCCGCCCGTCCCGCAGCGCCCGCGGGCGGCGGGCGGAGCCGCGCGGGGGGCGGGCGGCGGGCGGGGCGGAACGGAACGGAGCGGGGCACGGCGGGAGCGGCGGGTCCCGCCCGGTTTGCCCCGCCCTGCCAGGGACGATCCCGGCTTCCCGCAGCTCCGGCACCGGCAGCGGCCGTGGGGGGGAGCTGCCGGCGTTGCCCGGGAGAGGCAGCCCCGCCGCCAGTGATGAGAGCCGCCGACTGGTGCCGGAGCTCGGCGGGGGCCGCCCTGATCCTGGCCACGTCCAGCGATGCTGAGCACCCCGCCGAGAACGTGGCGGATGGGTGAGGGCCGGGCGCGGGCGGTGGGAGCGGCTCCTCCCGTTCGGAGCCCGCCGGGGCCGGCCCGGGCTCGGCCCCTCGCCCTCACGCCGGAGTCGCCTCAGGGTGGGAGTGCTCAGCGCCCACCGCCATGGCGCGGTGCCGTGAGGGGCCGCCCGGCCACAGAGCCTGCTCGGCGAGCTGTAAATGCCTCCAGACAGCTGCCCCGTCGCTGTACAGGGCACTGCTGAAAATTTCCCAAATAAAAATGCTTCCCCCGTCCTTTCCCCCCTCTTTCCCCTCCTCGTTTTCGTCCCTCTCCTTCCTTTCCTCACCATCCCCCTGTTTTTCCACCCCTCTTCTTTCCCCGTCCGCTTTCCCCCTTCCTTTCCCCTCCACATATTTTTCACGTATTCATATTCACATAATTTTCTGTGACAAATTTCATTCCAGATGTTTATAGATGGAAAGCTGCAATTGAGGGTTTTGTCCTGTTCTCTCTGCAGAAGTTCCAAAACATTTTGGACGACGACAGGCATGTTCCCACAGGAATTGATAATTGGTTTTCCCAAACGTGTAAAAATCAGCAAAGTCGCCATCCAGTGTTATTTGGGTAAGGCTTTGTGTCTTGCAGTAGGTAATATGTTCTACATTAAAATGTGTGTCTGTGCCTTAATGAAAGTTCCCACACTAGTGTCAGTATGTAGTCACTTTTAACTGATTCATTTTCACAAAGTAATCATCCTTCATATCCACAATCTCCATAACTTAGGGGAAAAAATAAATTAGTTAATGCTCTGAAAGTGCTTTGTTGGTTGTAAAGTGATGGAATAAATACCAGTATCAATAAAGAATCAGAACTTGTGTTGATATTTCAAATTTATGTATCTTTTAGTGCGGACCTTAAGGATTGAAAGAAGCACATCTAAAGACCCTGTGGGTTTTCAACAGTGCGTTGAAAAAGGTTAGACTGAATTTGTGGGGTTTTGTGGGAACAGTGCTGTTCTTTTGCAGTGAATCACTGTAACCCCTCATCTATTTGTTGAGTAAAGTGTGGCCTGGTGATTATTTTATTAGACATTAGTGTAATAGTCACGTTTAAGTGAATTTTGTTAACACTGCTGGTTTCTGCAGCAGTTTGGAGAGTAAAATGCTGTATAAGGGCTAAAAGCACTACTTGTGCACTTTATGTTCCAAAAACTAAAAACAGGCTTACATAGTATAATAGAATGCCATTTCCTGCATTGTTTGGTTTGAGGATTGGCTTTTTTTAGTGCCACTTGGGTGACCTTTTATAACACTGTAATGAGTGGGACACTGGGATATTGCAAAAAAGTATTCTCTTAAATCACCTGCAAAAATAAAAAAGAACAATGTCTATGTGCAGTGTAAATTCATAGTCCTTAAACTCACTTGAACTCTGAGTCCAGTGAAAACTTCACAGCACTGCACATTATTCTTCCTTATTTACCTTAAAATTTGTTTTCTAGATTTGCAGCACAGAGAAGGACAGCTCCAAATGGAAGAATTTCCAGTGAGTATTTACAGTGTGCATCAGTAGTGGTTCATGAAATGGGTTGTCTGGACTAAGTAGGGAGAAACCATAAAAAACCCAAACGTCTTTATTTACAATTATTGCTCAGTTGGTGTTAAAGAGAGGAATTTGTAGATTGTGGTGTGAAATTGCACTTCCCAGCTGCTCCTCTGTAGATTATGCTATGAAATTGCACCTGCCTAGTGCTCCTAACGAGGTGCAAGGGCCCTTTCCAGAAGTGTGGCAATCTTCCCTCCTTCAGTTGTTGCCTTTAAGGCTGCAGAATCCAGGAGGTGATGGGACTTTTTGAGTTGCAGGTCGAAGAACTTGATTTATGTGCAATTCAAAAACAGACACTGAAATATCCTGATCCTTGTGTTTAAGAACCTTCTGCAAATATGGTTTGGTAGTTTTGTTACCTCAGAGAATGCAATAACATGATTTTTATTCCTTCTGCAGCTTCCTGAGTTTGAAGCCACTTACTTGCGTTTCATCATCAAATCTGCCTTTGATCATTTTGTGTCAGTGCACCGGGTGATGGCAGAGGGCACAGCAGAGCACACTTGAGCCCAGCTTAAATTTGGGCCTCCATTTCATTTTTTATAAGGAAGCTACACTTTGATAGCTGCGCTGCAGAGAATGTTTATTATTAGAACCTTGTATTAAAGTGATTTTTGAAGGTCTGGATGTGGTATGTATTCTCTGCTGGTTTAATGTATGGAATAGAATAGGAGGCTACAGAATGATTTAGGTTGGAAAAGACTTCTAAGATTATCAAGTCCAACCACAACACAGTGCTGTTATTAATTGTAGTAACAGCTTTCTCATTTTGTAACCTAAACTGTAAGCCCTGAACACCTGAGCATAACTGAGTCCATGTAAGGTAGTATGTTTATATCAGGCTTACATAATACATGAATTAAAACTCAATTTCCTGTAAAATGTTTCCCCTGCACTCTGAGTTAAATATAAAAAAAACCTATGAGCTACTCAAGTGGGATGTATTACTTCCTACTGTCAAACAAGTCCTTCAAAAGTCCTTAAATTAGTAACTTTCTGATCAGCTCAAACTCAGAGATTATTAGAATGAATACAAATGTCTGCTAATACTTAGAAGTACCCCAGGGGAGAGAGGCAGGGCAGGAAGGGAAATAATCCAAACCAAAATTAAGTGCCTTGATAGACTTTTAATAATTGTAGATCAATCCCTTGTTTCTATGAATATTTTCTAGAATCAGGTCACAGCTGCCAGTGCTTTATGCTGGGACCATCATAACAAATACTCATGGAAACAGATGTTGATAGAGATTGTCTTGCTCAGAAGCCTTCTGAAGTCAGTGAAAGGGAATATTTTATATATACAAGTGCAATGTGTATAGTAATGGGAAATCAGTTGCTTTGCATGCTAGTGGACTTGTGCAAACGTCACCACCCTGAAGTTTATCCTGCAGAATATTCCTTACAAGTGTAAATGTTGATATCCAGAGCTCAGTGGACCCAGCTCTCACACTGCTGCACGTGGTATAAGAGTAGTAAGTTACTACAAAACAGAAGTTGGTGTTGTAGGGATGACACCTGAAAGCTTCTAGACCAACATAATGAACCTCATTCCAGATGCTCCTTACATGCACATACAACATTGTTCTTTTCTTGTCTCTATGGCTGTTTTTAATTTTTTTTTCTTAGACTTAGGTCTGTGACAAATTATTTTTTAACTTCTTTATCCAAATAGTTTTTACTTTGAAATCCTCTTCTTTTTCTGTTCCAGTTTTTCCAGGATGGCACGTATTTCTTGGGGGTGGTAATTCCAAGGCCCCACTCCTCCCTGCAAAGGCAATAAAATGACACAGTGATGCTCAGGCCTGACAGATCAGAAATCCTTCAGGGCACAGCAGCTGCAGCAGAACTGTGGGCAGGTGTGCCTTGGGCTCCCTTTCCACTGGAGCCATCCAGTGGGATATGCTGTGCACTGGTTACACCCTGCTGTGTCACTGGGACAGAGCCAATGGCTGGATCCTGGAGGTGGGAAATGTTCCTGGATCTCACAGCTTAGATGTACCTCGGGTTACTAGTGAGCCAAAAGACAAATATTTGAGCAAGACTGAGGTGTACATCAAATATGTACATTATAAAGGCCCAGACTGGTTTTGCTGCATGTTCATTTCTCTGCACATGTACAGTGCATTGTGAAATGTTTAGCTCTCAAACAGAATTAAATACTGACTGTTAAATGTAAAGCAGTCTGAAGTTATCTTGAAATTTAAAAATCTCTGTATACTGTGCTCATTGCTACTGATGCTTTTTACCTTGTAGATGACCTTCCCTCCTTGAAGCAGGTAGAGTCGTTCTGGCAGTGCAGCGTATTTTGAACTGCTCAGGTTTTCCATAGTGTCTAAAACCACTGGACATAGAGGATGATTTTTCTGAAGAAATTGTGCTGCAATTTTTCGATCTTCAATGCTTCTGTGATTTTTAATAATGACATTGTTTTTAAAAGCCCATCCGTCTAAAACAAATGAGGAAGGGATTTAGCAATGAAGGTTTTGAATGGGTGCAAGGGTGGACATGTACTGTGTGTCATATCCCAAAACTAGGTTAAAAGAATTTTGCAGTTTGTTTCCTAACATCAAAGCCTGCCATGAAATGAAAGCTTCCCTCAAACTATGGCAGCACTAGAGCTTTCCAATAGGTGGTCCTATTTTTTTCCCTCTTAATTTCATCAAACCGTATTTCCCTCTTGCCCTGGATTCAGCATTATTTGATGGATTTTAGCTGAAAGTTTCCCACATAAATCAACCCTAGAAAGACACCAGGTGGAGACCATGTATTCTATTTGGGTAAGGTTTGTCAGTGCTGTTCATTCTGCTTGATTGTACTCATTAAGCCTATAAACCAAAATTATAGGTCTGTGAGAAGCGAAATGTGAGCCAGGACACACCTCTGTTGTTCAGAACTATGCAAACAAATATTTGCACACAACTCCCAGTAAAGTAGAAACTAGTAAAAGGGTTTGATGACTTAGTCATTTTCTGATTCTCAGTTGCTGAAAATGACATATTGCTAGAAAACTATAAGGTTTCAGAAAAACTTTTAATCCTGGGATAAAACCAGTGCCAACGTGTTGCTTAGAATCCAGTGTAGATAAACTGGTGTGGTTTGTTTGCTTGCTAAATTTTTCAAATTGGAGTCTGCATCCTGTTCTTGGAAAATGTTAAAAACTAATTATTTTTTTTCTGTTAACGCATAACACATAGCATATTGTACACTTAACTTTTGTTCTATGCAATGTCTTTTCTTCCTCCTTTCCAAAAGGAGCTGTACTAACATTGAGAAGCAATTTTTAAAAAGATACAACTATGTCCTTCACATCAGTAATTCAGTGCAAAGTTAGAAGTGTAAGTAGAATCTAAGGAGAATTAGGGACACAAACTGCTGCCTGGATGTGGTGTTGCCACTTGATTTGAAGATTTTTCTCCTGTTTGGAGCCCCCTCCTTTGCTAGCACACTTTTTTTTCCCCTAAAGGAAGTGATGCATTTGCAGCTGTGGTTGGCATCACTGTGGTGTTTGTACTGTACCTACTGCGTGAGCTTCCTCAATGTAGATTATAAGGAAATCTGCTATTGAGCTAAAATCTTTGATGAGCTTGTTGAACTCATCAAATTTTAGCATAAATGAAGGTCAGGTGCAACTTCCAAAATTCAGGATTAAAGGTCGGTTATCTGGGAGAAAAAAAAAAGAAATGTGGTTAATGGAAGAGAGGAAGGACAGAATTAAATACACTGAACTGAGCCTCTGGTGCAGAGATTCCTGGACAACACTTAAGTCACTTCATAAACTTCTCCTAGGTTAGTAAAATCAGCAGCAGAACCTCTGCCTCTCTGCAAAGCAAGCATGAAGGTGTTTTTCCTAGCCTGGCTCTAATCTGTGCTGCATCCAGCAAGGATTTTACCTGAGGGACCCGTGCCCAGTACAGGCAGGAGGCACTCTGCAGTCACACAGCTTCTCTTTTCCTCATCACAAGACCCAATCTGCAAGTTACCAACGTTTTTGGGATAGGGAACTGATCCAAAATGGGCATCTCAGCCTCCCTGAGTTCTTTAGTATGGAGCAACTTCCAAAATACTAAACATGGCCTTCTGCAAGGTTATCCAGGGACAGAGGTTCAGCGGTGGGCATTGAGGACAGAGTCCCAGTGCCTTTTCATGTCCAGACTTTTTTTAGATGTGTCAGTTCCAGCTGAGCTGAGGGGAAACTGCAGATTTTTTAGTCATGCATCACAGGCTTTCATGCTTTCAATGTATTTCTGCAATTTCCTGTCCAAACAGAACTCTGGTTATATATTATTATTAAATTAACCTTACACTGGCAAAAGTATTTGCAGTTGCTTACAAATTAACACAGTATTGTGTTGATGTTGGCATCTGTTTGCAAGGCCTTGATTTAAGAGAGCTTGCAGGATTTTTAAGCACCTCTTTTAGTCTGGTTATGCTAAATGCCAAGAAATTTGTTCAAGATCTTTCTGGCATGGCTTAATTTAAAAGCTGCTGCTGACATAGATCCACATCCTAAAGAATTAAATAACAGTGGTACCTTCCTGTAGATACTGTGTATCTCTTCAAATTTGCAGCCCATTTTCTACATAAATATCTATATATAATTAGGAATGCAGAGTGAGAGATGAAGGTAATCCCTCCCGTGGGGATGGAGGCTGCAGCTTAATGATTAATTCCACGTTCTGCCGAGATCTCAGTGGGAGGCAGCGGGCAAAGTACAAAGCAGCTACATCTGCTTTATTCCCAGCCACTTTGGATCTGGAAAAACCCACCGTGTGCTTTCTAGGCTTTAGGCTAGCTAAGGGAGCTGGTGTGGAATTTTCTGTATGGACAGGGAACGACAGCTAACACTCAGAATTTGTTGCACACGGTTCAGTTCTGCACCTTCTCTCCCTAAAACAAATTATTACTTTGGCTTTCAGCAAGAAGTGTTTCCAGGCAGAGCCAGCTCTTGCAAAAGTTTAGTGGTGTGAAGGGATAGCACAGACAGGATGATAAATACAGGTTTTTATTTTTAAATCAAGAAGCAGCTGGAGTAAATGTGCTGCATCTTCTCCAGCAGGTGAGTACTGGTGCTCTGCACATGATACACTCAGGTGCCAGCTGCCTGTCCCTGTTCCCTCAGCAGCATCTCCTCATTTATGCTGTCAGCAAACCCAGCCCAGCTACATGGCTCAATTACTGACCTTCCATGAAATCCAGGAGGTGACAAACTTCCCCATCGAGGGTCACCACCGGCGTGTTGGGAGCAGGGTGTCCCTCGTAGGCTTCATCCTCCAGCCTCTTCCACTTCACCTTCAGCACAAACTGCAAATACTTGAAGCTGAAAAAAGTTGGGCCCCAGTTTTCGTAGCTGAACTTTGGATTCTGGTTCATTCTGCTCTTTTCTCCCATCTTTAGGATGTGCCTTTTCATGGCGTTGGGGAACAGTATCATCAGTGTTTTGCCAACAACAACGGACAGAGTAACCTGCAGAAGAATCAGGATTTTCTGTAGGAATACCCTGATGCCCAGCATTGTGGTGGAGAGGTCTGGCTGCGTGGATGGGAGCACAGTGTGAGACAGGGGCAAAGGTAGAGTGTGAGGGGGTGGGAAAAGGTTCACGTGTTAGGTTGAGTTTCTGCTTTGCCT